TCCTCACTGCCCTCCCTGGCAGCCTTGCCCTGGATCTCCTTCCCCCTCAGCCAACCCCCCGTGTCCCTGTGCTCCCGTTTGCTTCCCTGGGGAATGATGCAATGCTTGATGCTTGTGGGATAATGCTGAGTAGGTATCTCTGTGGGGTTGCATGGTGGTAAGCAGAACACAAAGCCTTGACTTCTTTCCTTCCCGGAGACCATTCTTAGCTTCTATTACTGTTGATCACCACGTTGATAAATAGCACCATAAAAATCAGAGTAATAAATTTAGTCTTTGTAAGGACTTCTGGGAAGCTTTGTTAAAAAGCAAACAAATTATCTTCCCACTTGGATATTTCAGATGGTTTTTACAGACAGATTTATTGGTCTTTTATGAGACCAGGGCTATGTCTCCTACATGACTTCCTGCAGAATGGAGATGAGCCAAGTGCCTAAGAATGATGAGGTGGCATTATCACTCAGCTGCTGCTGATGGGGAGTGATGACCCTGAACGGGCCTGCTGGTTTTAATCATGAAAATTGTGCTTCTGACTCCTCCTGGTGAGGCTGGTGCAGAAGTGGCTACATACAGAAGCCCAGAGGCACAGTACTTTACAAAAATGAGTGCACACACTGGTCCAAGCTCTCCAAGGCAGTGAGGTAGCCATCTCCTCTTGACTTGCAGGGACCTAAATATCTTTGGACACTTTCATCCAGAATCTGCCTAAAATACCATACTTCAGGCAGTGTTTCTTGGTCTCAAAATGAGAGCAATCAGGCTGCTAAAATCCGGGAATTCCTATCTTCAGCTTTCTGCAAGTCCATGCTGTGATACATGATGATTCACAGCCCTTGCCTGGGGAGTCGTCTTGTCTTGTCTGTGCTCAGACTCCACCAGTATTTACCAGTCTGGGAAACTGGATGTCCCACCACCAAGGACTCCACTGGAATCACTGCCATACTAATGCACAGTGCTTGCTATTGGGGTTTCAACCAGAGCTGACTTCTAGATTTGTCTAAAAAAATGAATGTAATGGTGCTTTTGGACAATCTCTGCTCCAGGACAGGGCCCTGAAGGTGAACAGGCTGCAGCAGCTCTGCCATGAAAACAGGCTGGGAGAGTTGGGGTGTTCAGCCTGGAGAAGAGAAGGCTCCAGGGAGACCTTATAGCACCTTCCAGTGCCTGAAGGGGCTCCAGGAAAGCTGGGGAGGGGCTTTTCACTGGAGAAGGCAGTGATGGGACAAGGGGTGATGGTTTTAAACTGAAAGGGGAGATTTAGGTTGGACATCAGGAAGAAATTCTTCCCCATGAGGGTAGGAAGGCACTGGAACAGGTTGCCCAGGGAGGTTGTTGATGTCCCTCCCTGGAGGTGTTCAAGGGCAGGCTGGATGAGGCTTGTGCAGCCTGGTCTGGTGGGAGGTGTCCCTGCTCATAGCAGGGAGGTTGGAACCTGATGGTCTTTAAGGTCCCTTCCAACCTTCACCATTCTATGGGTCTATGATGGGCACTAAAATAGAAAAATGATTCTATGGAGTTCTAACTGAAGGTAACTAAGAGCAGCAAGTAAAGCTCTGTGAGAGCACAGAGCCCACCATGCCCCTCTGGGTGGTGGCAGCTCCTGTGCCAGGCTGCTGGCACCTCCTGCAGGGACATCCTGCAGGGACATCACAGCCAGCTGGCACCTCCTGCAGGGACATCACATCCAGCTGACAGGCTGGGCAGCTCTGCAGCAGCCCCAGCCCTGAGGGCAAATTGCTCCACCAGGAACTCCAGTGCATCAAACCGTTTGTAAAGGAAAGCTGTGGGAACAGCCCTGATGGTGCTGCAAGTTACTTAGCCGGGAATGTTTATTATTTAATTAGACAGTTAATACCAGGGTCTGACTGTAATTCAGACCAGAGCAAATGGAACTGGGCGTTGTTTGTGTTTCACTCCTCATGTCCTTAACAGTGTGAGAACTGACACAGGGCTGTGTATGAACTCCAGAAGAGCTTGGTTTAGCTTCCCAAGGTGAAGCAGTGCTGACTCACACTGAAGATGCTGTTTGCAGGTAACAGGGACCTCAGGTTGACATCACAAGGCTCCTCTGGGAAGCCTGGTCTGCTCCCTGCATTCCAGTCCTGGGCTGCCATCTGAAGTGGGGCTCCAGAGCCCAGGGCAGGGCTGCCCCACCAGCAGGCTGAACAACTGAAAACTTGTTTTCTTCATAAAGAGAATGTTGCAGAACAGGTTTTACACGGGGATCTGATCTTTGTTCCTGATGGGATCTATCCCAAAAGGGCAGCAGGACTTGCCCAAACAAGGAGAGCAATGGGACAGTAGCAGTTTGCAAAGAGGGAAGATGAAATGTAGGGGAGAACACATGCAACTTCTTCCCAATGTGCAGAAACTTCTAGTAATTTTCAGTTACAGGAAGAAATAATGTGTTACCAGGTGAGCAGATCAATGGGATATTTACTGCCACTGTGTTCTGAGAGTATTTCACAAATATTAATTAGTCTTTACAACTAATATAAGCTCCAGCTTCTGGCTTAGTGTCAGAAAACCCTGGACCCTGGTTTCTAATGAACCCATCAGAAGCAGGAACTGTCAGACATTTAAGGAACATGAACTCAGGGATAGCTTTGATCTGTTGTACAAGCAGATCCAGGATCTCAACCAAAGCTGTTATCCTTTGTTTCTTTAACATGAGAAACATTAAAGACATGCCATGGCAGGCAGTTCCTG